GAGGCCCTTGGGTTCCTTAAAGCTGGAGTTTCGAGTTGTCCACTCCACAAAGCGCAAAAGTTATTGTGTCATGAGTGACCTCTTCAGAGTCCTAATTGGGATTTTGGAAGCACTTTGTGTATTTTTACAAACTCTTCCAACCTGTTTAGTTGAGCCGCCTCCACGGTTGTGCCCACCGCTGAAAGAAGGCTAATATGGTACCGTCGGTTCCGGGTGCTTTTCGTCGTGAATGTGCAAAAACTACTATATCAGTGATTTCTTCAGGTGAGGTCGGTTTAATAAGTCCATCAACAATAACCGGGGGGGCATGCGGTGTCTTGCCTTCCTCAAGGTTGCTTACGTGGGGAATTTTAGCTGAGCAGCTAGATAGTCGGCTAAGAGCGTCGCCTTGTCTTCGTCCCCTTCTGCCACTATCGCTTCATTATTAAGCGGCGGTGGTGTGTGAAAACAGTTTTTAATACGCCTGACGAAGCTCCAAAAAGATGGCCGTCCTTCTTCTGCCGCTACAGACACGTCTTGCAGTTTCGCTTCCCATCGATTATTTTGAAAGACGGCTAGCTCCTTTCTAATATGTCGGTGAAGACGTTTTAAAATCAGCTTGTCGGCAGGGTTTTATGTAGCAGCCGTAAGGAGTATTAATAGGCGGCGTTGACGAATAAGACTCATTAAATAATTCGGTAGACGGCCAGGGCGATACCCGACTTTGCGGTTGATTGTCGCGGCAGTATGGGCAGCAGTCAGTGCCCTCAATACTATCAACTGCATCTTTCAAATAGAAAGAGAGGCCGAGGGGGAGACGGCGCTATTTTTGTGTGCAAAATGACATATATATATGGAAGGCTTGCGCACACCTTTTTTTGGCTTTTATAATTTGTGGTCTGTGCTGTCAAGTGTTGTGCATTCTAGTCGTTTAAATTTATCAGAAGTTATTCTCGTATTTTTTAAATCTATAATAATTCTATATAATATATCTTAGAGTCTATAATAACGTTTATACTACATTATATTAACTTATACGGTATACTAATTTTTACTTTTCGGGGCTTAAGACCAGTGAAATCAACCTACGTAATTAGAGGCCCACGCGCGTGGGTTTATAAAATAAGTAGCGTCCCCCACAACATAAGGTAGTGTAAGGGGTAACGAATTTATTATATCTTAAACTTGTAGCCTGTTTAAAAAAAAAAAAATTAAGTTGTATAAATATTATGTAAACAATAATAAATGAACAAGAAAAAATTAATGCATCACTTAGTAACAAATTATTTGCTTAGCACTATCCTCTAATCTCTTGAGTTACTAACTCTGGTTCCAACGTCTTGTAGACGTTGAGCTTTTATATCGTAACATTTCTCTAGACTAAAACTGTCACTGAAACGATATTTTTGGTTCTCTAGATCAATGTCAAGCTACGACAATAGATAAGTGGAGCTTCTGGCGAGTATTAAGAAAGAAAGAAAACACGGACAAAACAATGGACTAGCCACAATTTTTTTTTCTTTTAGAAAATAACCTTTTACGGCTGATTTTTATTCTGTGTTTATTAGACAAAAAAAAATTAATAAAAATAAAAACGGGCCTGAAGTTTATATATATATATATCATATGACTTTTTCTGATGCTTGATCGAGTCAAAATCTTCGAATACTCGAGCTGTCATTGAAAAGCAATGGCAGCCGAAGTACATTCCAGTCATAAATCCCAAATTACTTCAAATTTTAACAAATGTTAATCTTACAGACTTGATAACTTCAAGAGCTAATATATTATAAACAAGTTGAGAGTAATATGTTGAATTATATTCATAAAGAAATATAATATAGAGTTAGTTAAAATTAAGAAGAGCTGTATAATTTATTTGATTGCTCTCGAGCGCCTGAGTACCAACCTTACAGATACTGATTACCAGAACAACAACGAAAAAAAAAGAAAGAGCGCGGCGCTTACGACACCCTTTAAATGTTTAATTAAGGTTGTGCCCTCAGACGATCAACCCTTAATTACATATAACACTAACAGAAAGATATCGGCGCTTAAAGCACGTCCCATGCGTTGATAAGCTCGCTCACCAGCAGACTGTTAGCGTGCCTGGCTAGCCTATAATTAAGGGTAATGGTTTTTCGTCGAAAGACGACGTTCAAGTGGGTCTAATCGGAGGTTTCTGTAAAGAGCTTCAATGAGTATAGAGCGCAGAAACTTGTTTTGACGCACGTAACATGCGGACGCTAGTTCCATGAAGCAGAAGCCTATGCTATTATTGGCTAAATGCAAGGCATATACAATAGTCGTTTGTTGGGCAGTGTAAGCTTGCTCTTGCTGCAGAGTAAGGGGGTAGAGGGCCATAGTTGCTGCCTTGACCTTCGCCACTACATAAATCACGTGCGTCCGCCACGAAAATTTGTTGGCAAAGATGATCACCAGAACTTTCGATTGAGAGCACCACAGTAATCATGCCATGAAAAGTTAAGGGCGCCTATCGAGGAGACTCGTTTCTTCGTTATTAGAAGGACTTTGCCCTTCGTCGCATTTATAGTGACTTTTCATTAACGACACCAGCCGGTGATCGTGTCAAGAGAGCGGTGCAAATGCTGGCACAGCGTGACGAGTGACTTCAACAACGAGTAAATGGTTGTATCGTCGACATATAAGGCGAAACACGTATGAAGATTGGATGGCAAAGGCACGACGCGCATATAGATTGTTCAAAGGCCTATGTCAAGTTAAAAGAACGAATAGTCCATCCGGCCAAGCGGGGGAGCTACTAGGACTTTAAGTGTCGTCGCGAACTTCAAAATGGAACTCTAGCAACGGCGTCCCCGAGACAGCGCAGTAAAGCGGTTTCGCCCACTTTGCCAACCGCTGCCAAGAGGCTGATAAGTCGGTAGTTGCTGGTCGCAGATTCCGGTTTCGGCAGCATCACAACAATAGCTGTCTTCCATCTTGTTGAAAAGATGCCAATGGCCATCGCTAAATTTTAGGAGTTACAGATAATGCATATCTCTTAAAGGCATTTTTGTCAACTAGCAATGCCATCGGGGCCAGACGCCTTTCGTTTAGCTAGAGCTTCGATATTTTATTGGAACTCCTACATAAACTAACTCAAGTAGTTCATTGGTCTCAGCCAGAGCAAAATTTATCTGAGATAGCGCGTCATTGGCAGTTTGAAGTTTATTTATTTATATATGAAGTGACGGGCCACAATGGAACTCAAAGGTTCTAAGACAGCTTGATCCGCGTTTTGCCCGCATTGGTGTTTGGAGTGTAAGTGCGCCCCGGAATGGGTGATATAATAAAGGTCCTTGTAGATGCTATAAAATTTACTGTACGCTTACTATTTTGTAATAAATTATTACTGTAACTATTACTGTAAATGTTATTATATTATTATAATTATTGTTACAAGCGTAAATTTTTGGTGTTTTAAGTAACATTGTTATTATTAGTATAAAAGGTTTAAGTGAGAATACTTTTGAGACGCTTGTGTAAGTAGTGGTTAGGATCGTCAGTTACAGCTTTTTAAAAAAGTTTATTAGAATGCGCGCTGAACTCGGAGAACCGTCTGTTTGCTGCTTCTATGGAAGTCCCGAAAAACTTAATCCCACAGTCTCGGTGTAAGTTGCTGTTGCGAACGAACCATGATGCTCCTGTTAGCATACGAAAAGAGTTGTTTTGTAGGATAAGTAGTTGATTAAGAATGAAATCCGAATAGGCCCACGCAAATGACGCGTAAGTATCGGTTTAACCAAGATCGAAGTTTATTGTGTGTTGCGTCCCTATTTATATATAAATAATTAAAATTGTTAGGGAACATCCTTAAAAAATTCACATGGTTTTTAAGATATATATATATATTCTGTTAGTAATTTCCTCTTTAAAAGGGATTGGATATGGAGCCCCCCGAGACTGAGCTAGGAACAGGGGCCATGGCGGCAGAAGAGACCTTTCTTCTTTTTTTCCTAATATTTCGTAGTTTTCATGTTTCGGTTTTTCTTCAAGCGGCTCATCTTGGGCTTCCAAAAATATCTATCTTCAACATTAACTTGGTCCTTAAAAAAATTTAGTTATAATGGTTGTTCCCAGAAACTATATAAAACCGGAAAATATCGGACAAGGGCTTTCGCCCTTCGGGTCTACAAAACCGTTACCGATAGGGGCTGCTGTAGATTCGAGACCCGAGAACGCTTGGAGAACAGCCAGGCCTCCCTAATTACGAGCTCTACCCAAATATACAATTTTTTATTATAGTTAATAATTGTGCAGATGCTCGAAAAATTGAGTGCAGACTGCTGATTTTTGCTAATAACTTAAATTATTCTGGGGGGTTCATATTCACTTTCCGCAAGCCACATCATTTTTTATATACATTTTACGTATACTTGTGAAGAGGTTTACAAACATTAAGTGAGCGTTCAAAATGTATCGTTTATCTATTCTTTACAAAACAAAACTAATGAACCATCGGGCACACATGTTATATAAAAAAAAGGTACATATTTATACTTTGCGTACTTGGGGCTATTGATTCTTTAACTACCTAATCAACATTAATTAACAATAGTATAATCTCCTTTTCGTTAAAACATCATATTGGAAACAATAATAATCAAGTACATAATAACAAATAACAAAATAAAGATAAGTACTTATAGTAAAAATCATTAATATTTATTGAATAATATTAATTATAGTGATAAATAAATTATAATAAGTTACATATTATGAGTATAAGTTCGGTTGTGGCACATGTTGTACCAGCTAATCATGTAGACATGGTTTATTTACATTAATGGTCAACACAGAATGCATGAATGGGGAAGGGCCAATTGCTTTAAGGTTATTATAGTAAAACGTGCTATTTTTTTGTAACGTCTAAATTTTATATTCAGCGTATCATATGCTTTCCAATTACTGGTTTGTTTTGCAAAAGAACCAAATAAAGCAATGAAGGTTTTATTGATAGGCTTTCGGCTTAGGGCTGCCATCTGTCGCGTGAAATTAGATAAGCACTACTATGTATTTCGAGAGTATGTTGTAACTCTGGTTGTTTACTAATCTGTAGTGCTTTTATGCTCGTGGAAGTAATCTTTTTTTAGCAACATGTTCAAAGGTATAATAATAAGTACTTAACCATTCAGTCTCTTTGTAACTTCGTTAAAAGACTTTTTTAACTATCTTTCTCTGTTGTAACCAAGGACTTGAAAAACAAACTGTGCGTGAACTTTATGTTCGGAATTTTAATAGTCTTTGCGACCGAGCCTACCTTATTAATGATTCGTTTGCCCAATGTGTTCTTTTTGCAATACCACAGGGAAAATATTATGAAAATTTTGAAAATAATGAAGAGTCAAATTATATAGTGAACAATAATATCCTTTCAACCACCAAAGAATATGTTATTTTTAAATTACCAGGAAATACCCCTTTTACCGTTAGATCTATAGTAGATGAACTTACTTCAATTGGTTGTACCTTATTTACCTCAGAGTTTTTAAGGTCTATGAAGTGCTTCTATCCTTTCCATATGTTTTTTACTTATTTATTTTGTATGAAAGCTACTATAATTCTAAGATTTGTATATAGTAGACAGGTTTCAGAAGCTAGCAGCACCAGCGTTTTGTGCGAGCCTCTTGAACATTATAGTTACTTTTTATTAATGAACATAACTTTAAAGTTTCAACCCAACTTAGACATTCTATATATGTTATATCTGTTTTTTATTTTCAGACTACTTTAATGAAAAGTTTTTTTTATTAATTTCAAAAGAGATAAAAAAACTAATTTTAGTAATAGGTAATCCTGAAAAAATAGTTAGTAATAAGCAAGAGTCTAAGATAGATCAAAATCAGTTGACTTTCAGATTTTTGTTTCCGGAAGACTGGGAAGTTTACTTAAAAATTATAGAAGTTAAACATAATGCCTACTCTAAGTACAATATATAGGAAAATATTTTAACAGATTTTAACTCTTAATCAGCATTTTGCAGGAAAGACTACGCGAAGAAATAGTTGAACTCATAGAGATTTGTGCTTATATATGTTTTCTCTACTAAAATTATAAATTTAAATCTGATTTAATAGATACAGTTAGGTACCGAGAAATGCAGTTTTCTCTCTACCAAAGAATTTATCACCTTAATATGTTTATTACCTCGTTTGAAGATTTTATGCCCTGTTTCCCCTTTATTGCCGGTAGCCAAAAAAATTAATAGCTATGAAAGATTAATCAAGTTCTTTTTAAGCTTATACAATTTTTACGAAGTAATTTATAAAAATATTTTATTATAATATATGGATGTCCCCTCCCCCTTCTTTTTTTCTAAATTCGACCATCAGCAGTTTTTCAAATTGGTTACCGATTGTATCTAGATCTTGTGACAAAAAAGCATATATATAAGCCGGTAGCCTGAGAGTCTTCGTGCATTTTGATTTTGTTCAGTTTACATAATATTTTTTTTTGCATGCGGGTTGAAAGGGTTGGAGAGATGCCTAAGGAGCCAACTGAAAGGCAAGGTGACTTCTCAGTGAGTGATGATAAAATCTTAGATTTGTGCTTCGGTTAATTATTTATTAACTTTTCGTCTAACAAAGGTTCAAGTGAAGTGGACTTTGCCGGACATCGAACTGACCCAATGTGGCCACAATTTTTTGGAGAGCTGGTATCAAAATATGCCTTGTTGTGTCCAGTTTGTGCAATAACTGCGATCCTTCAAAAGCATCAAGCTCCTCTTTCTGCTGGACTTCAGCCCAACTTCCAAGGACGAGGCGACCCCCGACCACCATAGAGTGTGGCACAGCCGAGGGGTCCTAACTAGCACGGAAGTCAGCTCGCTGGTAAGCTTCTCGCAGCTCTTGGCGGTTTCCTTAGTGACTTTGCGTGATAGCTGAGTTTATTCCCGAAAAACCTCGCATTTTGCAAGGAACCCTGTGGCACACTCAGCTTTGACGATCTTTCTAAAACTCACAGGTAACTCGTGCGGCTGTGTTATTTCTCTTATAAGCTCTCTAAAGCATGACTGGGTAGCCCTCGGTGGTTTCCTACTGCTAGAGTGCCAGTCTCCGCGTCTCAGCCGGAAGTGCCTGTGACTAAGACCAGCACTGGCTTTTTTCAGCTGGTCAAGGAGTACTTTGCTAATACCTGCTGGGCCCTTGTAATGAGTCCTTGCGCGGTGCATAAGCCATGCATTCATATACTTTTAATAGAAACGATGAGAAATAAGAAGGGGAATTCGTGTTCGTAATAAAAAGGCTTTATTTCGAGTCTTACAAGTTTACTGTTGTCATATAAGTTCAACAATCTGCATCTAATCTAATAAGTGATCTTTGTACTAGCTTTGAAGCGTCGAGAGGTTTAAAGATTATGGAGTCTTTCTGCAGCTCAATATTTAATAATATTTCGGATTGTTTTTCCGAGCTCCGTTTCGCAGACTTTGGCCGCAAACTTGAGGGAATTGAGTGTTTCCCGTTCGTTTTCGGGCTCCGGAGCGACGTTGACAATCATTAAAGACTTCCCTAACGACCATTTGAGGTTTAGAAAGGTCAATCACACCCACGGTGTTAGCAGACTACCAGAACACGTAAAGCAGGGCTGCAGCAAGATGGTCAGCTTTGAATCTCTGTCGGCCCCTAAGAGTTAGCGCATGCGCCCTACGATGGCTGGTGGACAATCAAACCTGTAGCGTATGTGGTCAGCCTTCTCGTGCAACTGCCTAAGAACATCCGTTAAAGTGGAGAGAGACTTGTTAATATTTTGGGCCTCTTTGAGCCTATCACGCTAGTAAGCGGCCCCTCCTTTCATGAGAACAGACATAGCCCATAACCTGTCGCCAGTGGCCCCACTTTTCGCGATCCTTTCGGAGCCTGCTAAGTCGCAGAGGTACAGGCAACCATTTAGTTTTGTTTTTGTTTCTACATGGACACCCTGACGGCCCGGTAAGCTGCTCTGACTCAAAGGTTATGAAGGACAGCGGGAAATCGACCTGAAGCTTTAAGATAAAGACGCTGTGACTTCTTGAGGAGGTCTCGTTCATGTTGGTGGCGGCCACGGATCTTTGCTTTTCGGCGGATGAGACTATCAAATCCACCTATTGTGGGGAAGTGCGGTCAGTGCTTGCTTTGAGGGCCGGACATTACGCACCTCGTCGACGGAGGAAAAGGTCTTTTCGTGAAAATCTTTGGTTAAAACTTCTGAACCGATGATTCGCATGTTTACTTTCGGCGCACCAGAAGCCAGAAGATCTGGAGGTCAAGGGCAAAAGCCATTATATCGGTTACAAGATGGTTAACACGCGGCCACCACCTCTCACTTGCTCGTTGTAGATCTCGACGTAGTTGCACGTGAAAGAGTACTCCCAGCCTGTCGGTCCCACGTCGTCATGGGACAAAGCGAACGAGAGATTATAAAACTGACCCGTTGCTTTCATAACTTGCGCCGTCTCCACAATTTTCTGGGCGGCCCTTCGGACAATGCCAGCTTCCTTGCCCCTCCCACCGTGCATGGTGAAGCTGTGTAGGCGCCAGACGTGTTACCATTAACAGGGCAATGGAGGTGCAAAGTAAGACAGAAAAACACGTGCGTTTTTCCGGCTCCTGTTTGGCCATAAGCGATCACACAGGTGTTGTAGCCGTGCAAGGCCGACTGCACGAACAACGCAACCTTGAAGCAATAATAATATGAAGGGTAGTCATAATTTGGAGCGAGCAAGTACCTCTTCAAATACGGTCTCTTGCGAGTCCACTGGCCCAAAAACACGGTCAAACTTGAAAACGTGCTGAGTACCTGAGGCAGCGGAGGGGTGGGGATCTATAAGGGTGCAGTGGGACATAGAAAGACCACAACCTCTGCACTCCATGTGGAGGTCAGTGTCGCTCTTGACGGCAGTGCGCTGGGCATCTACATAGGAATGTTCTTCGATAAGAGACGCAGTAACAAGTAAAGTTTAGAAGCCACCAGCCCATGAAGGCCGGATCCGTACAAATACGCGCACTTTCCCCTTTAAGTCCTGAATGGTATTGTGAAGAATCCTGTTTCTCTCCTCAGCTTCATAAAGTTTTTGCTTCAATTCCGCAATCTCACCCTGGGCTTCTGAGAACTCTTTGTCTTTGCACTTGTGAGACAATAAGAAGAGAGTTCAAGTATTCAAGTATGGTTTTTGGAATGCAGAACCTCTAAAATGGAGATTTTGGCTTTCAGCTCCTCATTTTCCATAGAGAGTTTACAAATGCGCTCTATTTGCACGTTTTCGATAGGGATCTGAGTGAAGCAAAGTAGCACGAGTTTCAAGATTAGCAAAGCTATTGTGGCGTACGCCAGAGTTGTCGTGCAGTTGTTTCAGTCTGGAAGTCAACTCTCGTGCAAGTTCGCTCTGGAGAGTCACGTTCGACTGCAACATACGATTGTTCTCCTTGAGTTCGCCAATTTCCGTTTCGCACTTGCTGAAGGCCTCCTGCGAGCGGTTCAAGTCCCGCTTCAGCTGCCTGCAGCGAAATTTCCCATTACAGCACGGAAACACTATTTCAGGAGGCCCATACCAAATTTCGTTGGCCTGCTTCTGAAGGAGCTCGTCCTTTTTTATGAGGGCTTCTTTTAGCTCTTTTTCGAACAGTTGAAATTCAGAGCAGAGACTCGTCTGCTTTCTCAACTCCTCTTTTATAGTCAAAAGCTCGTATTCAGCTCCATTCAATTTTGATACGCTGAATAAAATGTTAACTATCACTGATAATAATAAGTTCTTTGGGAAGCTTAAAGAATCCAACCATTCTTTAAGTACTTTGTTTTCTTCATTCAGATCGTTGATGGTCGCTTGGTGGGCCTAAAAGGGTGTTGGGAATCGGCCTGAAGAGCGAGGCAATAAGAACCTCCTGCGTGCGAGAAAAAGTAGCCATCGTGGAGCTGAATTCGCTATTTTTTTCCTCCAGCCTGTTTTTTAGTGCTTCGAGCTCTAACGTCAATGTCTTTTGAGAATAATAAAAATAATTAATACGCAAAATTTATCTATATTTTTAACCTTATTAGTTTTACTTAAATCTTCATAGTTTCTCTCTATTGTATTCAGCTGTTGTAAGGTTTGTTGATGCTGCTCTCGTTCTGATTCCAGCTCCCTCTTAACGCGCTCACATAGAGAGTTTTGGTCGCTAAGGGACTTTTCATTATAAATTTTCTATCGTGTAAAAATTTAAAATTATTTGGTTCAAATAAAGGTTAAGAAAAATTTGAATAACTGCAGTACAAATAAATACGTAACAATGTTCTATTAATAAAAAAAAATAGTACAAGTTCCTCAAGTTTTGTGTTCAAATCATCCACTTTGCTTTCTAAGAGTAACTTTTCTGTGTCCAACTCGGAAGTCTGCAAAAATTAAAGGAATTGTTCAACAAGAATAAGTATTTTTAAGTAAGATTACTTACTTTACTTTTATACAGCTTTATACTTTCCTCGGCTTTATGTAGTGTTTCGCTCAAGTTAGCATTCAAAAGTTCCAATGAAGTTGACTTTACGGTGTCAGACTCAAGCTTACAATTAAGTTGACTCCAAAAATTTTTTAAATCATTCTCGAGAAAAGCTATAAAAGTTTATTTTCAGGTAGAAAAAAAAACAGGATAAGCATAATAAATACCTTTTGTCTCTAACCAACGGTCTAATAAACCTTTAAGTTCAGCGATAGCATCTACAAATTTATCCACAGTAGCTAAATTATTTAGTATAATTTTCAAAGAAATAAATATTTTAATAAAGGTAAGCATGCCTCGATTGACAAATTTATCCCTTTTTATTTTTTTATCTTTGATTTGAAGAGTTAATTTATGAAGTGTAGAAAATCTTTTATCGATTATGCTGTCTAGTTGCTCGTTCCCAATAGAAGTCTTTACTTCTTCTGACTTTTCATAACTTCCTGCGTTGGTTAGAGTGGTATCGATATTTCGAGATGGCCCAAGAACTGCAGAGTCTTCCTTTAAACTTTTTATCGGCGTTGCAGGTGGTTTCCAAGTAAAAGTTCCACGAATAGAAGCTGGTAACTTACCGGTAGTGCTACTAAAATCTTTATATAATCTTGAGTGCCGTGGAATGTTTTTCAAAGGGGAGTTTAATTTAGGCTTTATAATTATTTAAAATAGGGTAAAACATAGAATGTATTAATAATAAAGGTACATTAACCTTGTTAACTGAAGATTTTAAGGTGTTCCTTGAGTTTAAAGGAATCTTATTTTCCTGTTTCAACCTTTTTTTTAAAGGTTCAGTATTTTCTTTAAAATCACTTAAGAGGGTTCTCTTGTTGGTTGCTCTCATTTTTACAACTCAAAAATTACTACAAATATATAAATTTATACATTGAGGAACAGCAAAGAAGAAAAGCTATCCCAATATTAAAATTTAGCAATGTACAAACCTCAGAGCTTGAAACCCTAATGAGGCCAATGAGTTTTGCATTAATTAAACATTAGATGGTATATAATAGTTGCTTTTATCACTAGTTCGATTTACGGGAATTAATTTTTAAATAAAGGGGGCTTTTTGTACAAAATTATTCTACTTTTCCTTTAGTATTTTTCAGAAAATATTACTTTTAAAAATTTATTGGGGGAAGGGGCGAGAAAGAAACTATTATTATAAATGATTATTCGTTTCATGATTAAAAAGTCTCCCCAGAGGCCCGCTATGTTCTCAATCACAAAGCGTAACTAGAGACTAAAATGTTATAAAACAATTAATCGTTATTTAAAAGCCATGCGAAAGAGATAATTACTGTCCAGTTTACTTAGCTTTAAATTACAGGTTATTTTTTACTTTACACTAACCCGTCTAATAGTTAAGAGGTGATTAGTTTGAAATAAAATCTTCTTAAACTACAGGAAAGCGGGAAAGAAAGAAAAAAAATATATTCATAATTTTTTTTGTAATAGACAATTTTTATTTATATTATCTTGTTTTAGTTATTTTTAGTGGTACACTAGCAAACACAGACCTTTAAGGAATATTTTTATTTTACGGATAAACTTATTTGTGGGGTACAAATGCAGGTGAACAGCCTTCTAACGAATCCTCATTGGAACTCTATACTAACTATACAAAATCATAGTAAAAACATAAAGTAGAACAGAGAAGATTAACAGTTAATAATTTAGTCAGACTACCAAAAATCCTTTTAAATTGAAAAATTAATAAATAAACTTAACATTTGCTAAAGCAAAACACGCTGGTGACGATTAGAACACATGAGTGAAGCAGGAAAGAGCTTCTTTCGATAATATGAAATTAAGGCTTCATAATTCATAAACTTAAATAAGTTTCTAATGGCAAAATTATTGTTACTAAAAGCTGAAAATTAAGTTTTAAAAATTATTTATTTCACAAAACTAGACTAACCACTAGGGGCTTCTGACAAATATAGATAGGGACTACCGAAAATTATACTTTCAGTACATGAACTCTTTTTGTTCACTAATTTTAGTAGTAGACGTTTAATGACGACTAAAACCACTACCGCTCTTCTACAGACTAAACTTGCACAACCAATATATGTACGTGTACTACAGAGGCTAGAGTAATAAAAGACCACCTTAATACTCTTCAGCATCAAATGGAAAGTGTACCTATATAAAATGTTACCCTAATGGCCTAAAATTTCTTCTACTCACCTCTTTCGTAAAGTTTTTACCCAAAAAAATTAAGAAAAATTCGATTACTTACAGAGAAAAAAATGAGGAAGGCATACCCTACTTAAATAATTTAGCAACAATTTTTGGGTTTTACGTCAATAAATACATTTTGTGGTTCAACTACAGAACATTCGTTGACAACTGGCGTGTAGAAAATAGAGACTCCGACCTGGAGGTTTCATAGCGTCACTCATAACACAAATTACATAAACTATTTAAATTGAACTTTATCTAGCTAACAAAGTAAGGTTACACTATACAATATACAACACAGTAATTTTTTAACTTGTTCCCATTAAAGCGCACCATAACTTGGAGTTATAACAAAACAATCTTAATCTTATTTAACCACGAACATTTTACGAAATTCAAGGCATAGCACGAACTTCTGTTACTTAAGAAAAACTGGCAAGCTACTTTACAATATAAAATTGGAATTTATTTATACTCCATACTTTTTGGATGTAGGAAGAGCAGTTATGGTTTATTAATATCTGTGAAGAGTTATTTTCCCAGGCCTAATTTTTATGAATCCACTGTGAGGTTATCTCAAAACCCATTTTCCTTTAGTTTTAGTTACTACGAGATGGGACTATGCGCTGTTAGTTTTAGAATTAACAAGGAAAGAGATGCTATATATCGAAACTCCAATAGTTTATCTATACGACTTCCCTTCCAAGGTCATTAAGTACATGAATGTTAACTGTATTTTCAATTACTTTTCTCATTCGTGATAAGGCCTAGTTTACTTGAGTCAGTCATCTATATGAAAACTTTATGCAAAAGGCAAGAATAACTAATTTTTTGAAAATTTTTGAAATTTGGAAAGCTTAAAATTAGATATTAGAAGTTGCGGACATTTTTGTGCCACCCGTCGGCCCTGCGAGGGTTACTTTGAAGGAGGTTCAGAAGTTTAACCCCTCCTAAGAAATCAAAAATTTCGTAGTTCACGTACCGGTACATAAGCTAATCTTTTGCTTCGTAATAGACAAATATAAGAGTATATATATCACTATATGATTATTAAGATTAGAAATGTATTAAATAATAATGTGATTAATTTTTAAAAAAAAGAGATTACGAAGTGGGGTTTCAGTAATTATAACTCTAATAGCATTACATTGTTTACAATCACTATGATATGTAAAATATACGTTTACAAATTTTTTTTTTATAAAATTATTTCAAACCATTAAGATAAAAGATCTGTCTAAATGGGAGTGATTTTACTAATTTATTAATTCAGGACTTTTTATATAGGCCTCTTACTGAATAGGTTTTAGATACTATAATAAATATGAGGAAAGCGGTAAGGATTTTTGGCTAAATTTATTATTTACGAGAAATCAGGTGCTTTAATAATAGTAGCGGAGGTCTACTATGGTTAGTATATTAACGAACATCCTTATGTGATTTTTAAATAAGGAATCAAATTTTGTGAATTGATCTCACAGACTCGATAACTTTAAGAAAGAACTTAAATATTATAAAAAATTGTTTGAGAGTAATATTATATTATACTACATGAAAATATTATATAAAGCCAAAAATAAAGAGGGGCTAGCATAATTTATTTAATTGCTCTCGAACCGCCTGACAAACACTGAAAACAATTACAACAACAAAAAAAAAGGAAAGAGCGCGACGCGCACAATACCCGTTAAATGTTTAATTAGGATTGTGCCCTTTATGGCCAACCAACTAATTTCGTTAGACCGTAGCAGCGGTGGTTTGTTACCTCTATCGAGATTATCCTAGAGGTATATTAAAAAATTGTATTAGTAATTGGTACGCTAAAGGATATATTTGTCTCCACGATAAACAAAGATCGAACCTTTCAAGCTACATTAACTCATATAATACAAAAAAGAAGTTTTGTTGTCTAGTAATTATCGCAAGTAGAGTCTGGATTTTGGTTGCCTTCAGGTTCGTTGGCAATATTGTCGTTAACGTAGTAAGTAGTTAACGGTGATGTTATGAGAAGCGGAGCGAAATTTCCAGTTGGGGTACCAGAATTTAGTTTGTAAGGAATTGTACATGTAACCACCAGACCAAAAAAAATGCGAGTTGGCACCGACGGGGATCGAACCGCATCTTGAGTTTGCGCACCATGCTCTTATCACAAAGCTACGGGTTACAACTCACATCTTCAGTTGATACTTAAAGTAATCAACTTTTGTTATGGGGGATCGCTGTTTAATCAGGTGTTTTAGGCTTTCGCTTGTAAGCTTTGCACCCGAGGTATTTTGTGTGCCCGCTACACTTCGCACATTAAGCAGGTCGATCCGGTATATATTTTTTTTATAGAATGTGCCGTTAGGTAGAGAAGGGATTAAAATATTTTTGCAGTAGAGACGCTGCTCAAAACGTTACTCTTTCGCAATTAATCATTGGATTGACAAGCGAGGAAAGGCCGTCAGATTTGGGGCCTATGTTCAAGCAATAACAATATTGAGCACTTACAGCGCTTTCCATTTTAAATGCCTTGCGTGTGAATACCTAAACCACAGGGTGGGATGTGTGACTTTAAGCAAACAAGCTGGCTTAGAGTTAAAACTATATGTTACAATAGCTGCCTAGTAAAACAAAGTGTAATCTAATACTGGGTAAATTTGGGTGCTACAATGCTTGTTATGCATAAGTGTCGTCACATTCTGATGAAAATTTCGAGCCCTTAACGCGTATTTCTAATTTTAAAGGCTGCACGCCATTTGTTAGCATTAATTTTACCACAATGGTTATTTTTTATAGAACATGAATGGGGTTGTTTACTCAAGAAGTGGTAACGAGACTGCTGCAGTGAGAAGTAGTTTGACGGGTAGCGCGGTCTATGTGGTCTTTTTTCCTGTGTTTAATTGCATATCCTCAATCCCTAGAGGGGCCGGACCAATGTGATTTTCGATGTGGTTTTTAAAAAGATTAGTGTAATTGCTAATCATAATTAACAATCGTTGAGTAATTCTAACCGTAAGTTTTATTGTACTATCGTAGTAAGATAATTTTTTGTTAACTATTTTCCTTTGTGATTTCGTTGCACTTTATTTTAATAAGTACAGGTAGCTTAGGTAGTTCGTCATATTTTAAATCAAGGCCTCTGTACGAGTTCTTTTTTGGATTTTTGCGCATGCTCGGTAAGCCAAGCGCATGACTTTTTCGAAGAACTGAAGGGTATCAATAGCATATTGAGCCCGGACTTTCGGACATTCCGTAGGGTGGTGAAAAACTCCTGAAAATCACCGCAAGAGTGGCCCCGAGTACCAGCCCCACAAGTCCGGCTACTTTATAGGTAGGATGTAGTTCCTGTGTTCTTTCCGTCTTTTGGATTATGTTGAAACCGCTTAAAGCATCATTGCGAGAGTTGGTCACGGAAAGAAGAGCCAAGGTTTCTTAGAGGTATGTATAATTAATGCATATAAAAGTTGAGGGCTCCTCTTCTGAGAAAGCTTGTGGCCGGGAAGGTCTGGCCAGCATTTTTGCTGGCCGATTTCTAAGGGCTGAGGTTTAGTACCTGTGGCCCGCCTTTCAAATTAGTGCTTATTTGGCGGTTTTCCACCATGGCGAGGGTCAGGCTTGATATATCTTCCATAGCTCTCAGTATTTCGGGGCAAACATAATACCCCCTTAAGAGAATAGTCGCTGTTTGGGCATTCGCCTCCGGGCCCCTCTCGCCGTTAAAAGGGGGTACAAACGCCCCAAAAACGGTTAGGATACGTCTGTTACCACCCACAGGCACAGGTGGCTGTGCCTCCATAAATTAAAAGTGGAAAGCGACTTTAAGACTTGCTTTATACAAAGTATTATATCCTGGAAAAGAAACTGATAAACAATTAGATTGCTGATACTTTATAGCAATTGCTGGCAATTTTTAAAAACTAAGGCTTGAATTTCTTCACCATGCATTCAGGAATATAACAAATAAACCTTGGGGCCTCCATACTTATGTTAAAGAGTTTGTTTTAAAAGGCTTGCAATCTAGTAATATGAAAGTCAAAGTAGAACCTACAATGAGCAGTTTTTTTTTTTCAAGTTAACGTTTTCTGTGTCTGCATAACAACGGGTTTACCGCTTTCTAGGTAGCATTTACCTTATTCATATAACCCGATATGAGTATTTCAAGTTAACTTTTATCACAGTTATTTAACTTGGGAGCCACGAAATAGTATTTTACATTTTAACTGACTTATGGCATCTAATTTTAGATTTTTTTTCTTTTAGTAAGCAATGAATAACACTTATGATTGTGACCTGTTATCTTTTAATCAAACCAGTGTAAGCGGTTTGTCTTTGAAGTTGTGGTCTGAAAGCTAGTAAATAGGTATACCAACCGCAAATCGGGCAAGTTAAACAACGATCGTTTAGGATATGACTGCCAAATAGATTGCTAATAAAAGCGAAAAGTCTTCTAATATTTAAGTCTTCTACCTTTAAAGTAACCATTATATTGCCGGCTGTTACTTTTTTGATAAAAGTTTCTCCTTGTTTATATTAGAGACCTAAAAACTCAATAAATCATGTATAAGTTCTTAAGCAAAAACCTTTAAGCCTTGAAATATTAATAACGTTCTTGTAAAGGTATGTACTGTTAAAGCACCCACACAAAAAAGAAGATATTATAAACGGTTTATAATATCAAAAATTCTATAATAAAGAGGCGTTCCCTACTCTCTTATAAGCTAAGCGTGTTTTACTTTCCAAACAGCTCGTAAAACAAACTTCAAAGCGAAATAGAAAAATAAGGCCTTCGCAAATTTATTCTTCAGAGCCAAGTTAAGTGGCTACTTTATAATAAATATCTTATAAGCAACTTTTTTAAAAAATTAAGTTTACTTCTGCAATCTGAATTAAAAAGACCTTTTCAAAGTATGCAGATATTCATGACATAATTATCCAAGGTCTTTAATTATATATATAAAATTTTACAATTTTAAAAAAATATTCATATATACTGTGTTAAAGGTATAGTAGTAAAAAATAACCGGTAGTGCGACAAATAAAAGTAGATGGAAGGTAAATAGTAACTTAGTTAGTGTGTAACAAACAAAAAATAATATTTAAACCTTTTCCTTTTCTAAAATTCCCTTTTCCTTTGTCAATAATCGATTTCACTTTCCCTTTTTCAGCTATGTTCCTCGCCCTAAAGTGTGCCTCCTCTTGGATAGCCTTATCCAGAACCTTTCTCAAATCGCTTAGTTAACAAAAATGTTGTGCGTAATAGAAAAGAGTATAAAATAACCTCATCAGGCATTCTTAAATATTTTATAACATTCCCCCTTATATAACAATCAGGGACGTTCCAAAATCGGTCACCATCCTATGAAATAGATTTTAAAATAAAAATCATATAAATTTAAATTTTTAAACGAACTAGAGATTTCATATACTTATATTGTATAAGTAAGGTTCTAGTATGAAACCTTTGAGGTAATAATAACTTGTCGAAGGCTAATGTTCATATAGTTATCACAACCCATTAAATGCCCATTATATGTTTCACCGTTTTTAAGTTCTACACTCTAATAATGCACAAAAAAATTTATTAAATTTATTAAAAAATAAAATATAAATATACCATGGGGTGGTTTGTAGCCGAACGCAAAAGTGTTAGAGGGAGCTAAAAGAAGGAAGAGTTATAAAAACTTATGGAACGCATTTGCAAAGAGTATATAGCTAAAATAACTTAGTAAAAAAACAAGTAAGCTAAAATAATTTCTTTTACTAATGTCTCAACGTGAAGGGTGAGTAATTAATAACCATATTTTTAACTTCAAATCCCACAGTAAACCTGTCGATACACAAGATATAATTGTAGGTATTGGCATGGCTTAGCTGGTGGCTTTGACGACGGATAAATCATATCTTCGGCGTAAATGGCAATTCGCGGGGCGAGGGTGAATTAGCAGAGGGATGCCTCTCATAACTCTCCGTAAAACGCGCTACCAGCCAAAGGCTACGATGTCAACCTTGCTCATCTTTTAAAAAAAATGAAGAGTGACTTTAGAAGCAGAAGTATTAATACTTTTTATAATAGCGTGAGTATTTAAGCATAAAGGATAGCTAAAATATATTTATGCTATTAAGTAATATATAAAGTTTATTCGAGTGCACGTTTTGTTTTAAAGTTTGGTGGGAGGACGTTTACTTTTTTTTATATTATAGTATTGCAGTATTATAATTTCACTGCTTTTTTATTATGTGTATTCACTAATTATTATTATTGTAATTATTAACTAGTATTGTTTACCATTAGTTATTATTTATTATCATTTTATTGGTTATATACATATATTAAATAATATATCTAGTATTATTATATAATATATATTACATAATGTAATTATTATAAATATTTTATTAGTATTGTCTGTTATTATTTATTATTTAATATTTTTTATAAACAATACATTAGGGGTAGGTTAAGGGTAAATGTAACGATAATCTTTGCAAAAATATCACAAAAATATCACAAAGCGTCTTAAAGATACTCAGACTATTTCTTTCATCAATAAACGTTCATATGCGGTATAGAATGGTTTATTAATAAAGTTTTCGCTAAATTTCCAGGGGTATCCTTGAATCAAGCTTGACTGTTTGTTCAAAAAAGTATTTTGAATAAGGATCCTTTCTGCTGCTTGGGCTTCTTCAGTGGAATTTTGACGGCATTCCGCTAGCGAAATCGCGAAAAAATACATAAGGGGTCTTTTCTCATATATCTTTTCATGTTTATACTCGGAAAGTGGTTTCTAAAATAATTAAAAATGTTCGGGAACATTTCATATAAAAAAGCATATGACTTTAATATTGGGTTTAGGAACATTATAAAAAAGGGTTATGGTTAGGGTTATGGTTAGGGTTAGGAGGGTTAGGGTTAGGGTTAGGGTTAGGGTTAGGGTTAGGTTAGGGTTAGGTTAGGGTTTAGGTTAGGGTTAGGGTTAGGGTTAGGGTTAGGGTTAAGGTTAGGGTTAGGGTTAGGGTTAAGGTTAGGTTTAGGTTAGGGTTAAGGTTAGGGTTAAGGTTAGGGTTAGGGTTAGGGTTAGGGTTAGGTTTAGGTTAGGGTTAGGGTTAGGGTTAAGGGTTAGGGTTAGGGTTAGGGTTAGGGTTAGGGTTAGGGTTAGGGTTAAGGTTAGGGTTAGGGTTAGGGGTTAGGTTAGGGTTAGGGTTAGGGTTAGGGTTAGGTTAAGGGTTAGGGTTAAGGTTAGGGTTAAGGGTTAGGTTAGGGTTAAGGTTAGGGTTAGGGTTAGGGTTAGGTTAGGGTTAGGGTTAGGGTTAGGGTTAGGGTTAAGGTTAGGGTTAGGGTTAAGGGTTAGGGTTAGGGTTAAGGTTAAGGGTTAGGGTTAGGGTTAAGGTTAGGTTAGGTTAGGGTTTAGGTTAGGGTTAAGGTTAAGGGTTAGGTTAGGGTTAGGTTAAGGTTAAGGGTTAAGGGTTAGGGTTAGGGTTAGGGTTAGGGTTAGGGTTAAGGGTTAGGTTAAGGTTAGGGTTAGGGTTAGGGTTAGGGTTA